AATTAATCGTGGTTAATGTATTGTTATGGTTGTTCTGTAATTTATTTATCTCAACACTAGTTGTAAATGTGACGACTGTTTCATGAAAATGTAAACTCTTCATTGTTGTATATTTTTTCTGTTTAGCAATACAGGAAAACGCCTTTTTGGAAGAAAACTTTTCGCACTTAGAATTTCACAACAATGATTCTCACCATTTAATTACTTTCCTTAATTTAAATAGGTAGCTGTCAGACGCGCCATTGTAGTACTTTCGATTATAATCGTTTCTTCTGATATAAAGTGGAAAATTACATAACAGAAATTATAGAGTAATTTAAAGCAAAGGTCGTTGTTCGCCCTGTCGTTCATGAATTACAGGTTTGAACACGGTTCCGTATTAGGATCAACACTTTTCTCACGTTTGGAAGATACAATTGAAGATTTATTGAGACAAGACCAGTCGCCTATAAACATTTAACATAACGCCACATCCTTAATTACTAATGGACTAATCAAGCAAAATGCACGATTTCGTTTTTCTTTAAGCACACACTCAGTACCTACAACATCAATATTCAAATATTTAATCATGTCAAGGTCTGAACAAACACAAAATTTTCTTAATATAAATAATGACAAATCTTCAACTCAGATAATTTTGGGATATGTTTTATAATAGAAAGTTGCATAGAGAATGTGTCAAATAATTCATTATTAACCGTTACATAATTAATGAAGAAGATTCATTAATTAACTAGTTTGTGCAATCCTTTATGTAAAAAGTAAAATTTTTCAGAGTCGCCACTATTAGACGAGATCAGTCAAAAAGGAAAGACGGCAACTTGTAAAAATAAGCGCATAGATACAAGATTGACAATAATATGTTGTTAATATTTAATTTTTCTCAGTAAATTTTTAAAGGAGTACGATTCTCAAAAAACTAACAACAAGAGCAAGAGACTGCAATTAAATATACTTAATAATATAATTATTTTGGCGAGGCAAGGCTCGTTAAAAAAAAATAAAAAGCTTTCCGCCAACTATGTTTTACTCTTATTAAAAATAGATTTAATGTAAAAAAAAAAGTTAATGGAAATTCTAAATGCATAGAATGCACCGACCATGTGATGGCGGAAGATTAGTGATTACACATTTCCTATTTGCTACTGTGAAAATGTGATTAACATTCATTTTTTAGTTACGCTGCTTTGTTAGGACGGCTTATACACCTACTGTTCCGAAATACGGAACATTTATTTAAAAAATGGTTGAATTTAAAATTTTGCTGGTAGCCACTGTTAGATAGATGGTAAAGATGGAAACGGACGATGTTTATAGCTGTTAAGATTTTGTCTATCAAGCTTTCTTATAACATCGCGTTTTGTGCTAATATTTTTGCGAAGTGGTTGTAATTTTTCCATTTATCTACATGTGTCGTACAACTCAGTGATTTTTGTATGTAACGACAATGCACAAGTCGTTCATAAATAATTGAAACTCACAAAACCGTTATTAAGTTATTCTCTAAAAATTTCATACTGTTTTAATTTTTAGCATATCAAATTTTATGACAGTGTCTGTTTATATCATGACTAAAAATTCATTAAAAAATTGATAAAAATGTTATACACTTTTTTTTAATATACAGATAAAATCCCACGGCCTTATATCATGAAAACGAATAGAGATATTGAAATTTTATAAAGGTCATTGTTTTTAGGGTGAAGCGGAAAGCTTAATTTAGTAAACTGTAAATGTGACACAAACATAACGTCTGCATCGCGACGCCAACCTATAATATTTAAAATTCTAGCACATATTTTTTTAACTGACTTTGAGAGATCTTTACATTATGATTATAACGATGTAAAAGACTTAGACCCTATTTACAGAAGCTCAGTTAATTACTAATTACATATGTAAGTATTTGATTGCGATTAAATATTTAATACGGAGTTAAAGTACCACGTGAGCGATTATATGTATACCCAAATCAGACGTTGCTAAACGTCTGGTTAAATGTGTGATTAACTTAATCTCAGTTAAGATACTTACAAACTTTGAACAAAAAAATCAGTTGTCTGTAAAGTCGGTTTACTGACGATAGTTGAACGTGACAACGTCTTAAGAAAATACTGATGGAATGGTAGCATTTTTCAAAAGAAAATTTTAATTTCATTTGTTTAATAGATTTGTATGTATATAGAGAAGGAGGTAATTAGAAATCACAATGAAATTGATCAAGTTAGATTTATTTATACGCATAAATACAATTATGTCAATTTTTTTAGTTTAATGTGTCTTGAAAAAATTGACACTACATTCACTTTTCACTGCACTTGATACTCGACCAAAACATGTCAATGTACTATAATATAGCAGCTGTCCACGCAGACGCATCGCTCACTCAAGTAGGAGAGAGACGGATGGCGAACGCTGCCGAACGCGAAGGCCGATTGTGCCTCTTTGTCGCTCGTTCCGCGTTCTCGCTTGCACTTCAAGCCTTACATGGGACGCCTCAGAGCGAGGTAACGCCGCATGAGTCATGCTTTTTCGTGCGTGCAGCCGGCTCCATCGATTTATAAGACGTTGTCACGTCAAAAATAATTATAAGAGTGTTAAATTTCGTAAGTACTTATTTTTCAGAGTTAAAAATTTTAACCATTTTCGACAGACAGCAAAGTTTTATTTTAGTCATCCAAAATTTCGGATGTTAATATTTTAATTAAACTTAGGATTGTTAAGTATAATTTCATAATTGGTTGTAAACATAGATACTGTGACATAGCGTTACAGAAGTAGTGTAATTGTGTTTTTGTACATCAGTTTCCATGCCAATATATGGTAACTTGATATATCTCGTCATTTAGATAATTTATATATTATTATTTACAGTGAAAACTAATGCAACATCTCTATCATTTATAACAGTAGATAATAATTTAGTGATCTATCAAAATCCGTTAAAAAAATATACGTTGCATTTAAAAAAATATAGGTTTGCGTCGCGATATAATATTGTTATGTTGTATGGGTGATTGAATTCGGCGTAGGTTAAAACTCAACAAATTATTTTTTAATAACTCGAATATACACGAATAACTACTACAGCGATTATGTACAAAATAACTTCGGCGTAACTTGTCTGAACACTCGTGGACTCGAGGTGATAACTTCATGAATGGATCCTGTTCCCGATGGTGGCCTCTATTTAAACAGTACGCGGTCCTTCTCGAAACGCCTACGTCACCGCTTCTCGACTTCTCCGCAAAAAACATCTCTGCATATACCAGAATAAACACACATATACTAAATGACCCCTGCCTGGGCGTCGTATCGGAGCGGCGTATGGGTTTCTTTCGTAACACTGCCCCCTCCTTAGTTTTGATCGTCCCGATCAGAAACATCAAAGATGTCACTGTTGTTTTTCATGAGGCGGTCTAAATGAACAATCTTCATTTTCGTCTTCGGTCCTCGTCGAATTCTGTAAACTACATCGTTGATTCTCGGCACGACGGTGTATGGACCTTCCCAGTCTGTTGACAACTTCATTCATCGGTCACCGAGAAAGAACCTGCTATGTCCACTGCAATTCTTTCGAAAGGCGAACTGACGTTGCATTGTTGCATCGGCCCTCTCGCTCCAGTCCGCGGTCCCTTGACCGCCGCACAGGTCGTACATTTCTTGCACCAGCTCTCAACGTCTTCTCGGCAACGGACCCAGTAGAATCTCTCCCTGACTTTAGAAAGCGTTTTGTTGATTCCAAAATGAGCATCAGAACCGCCGTTGTGCATTTGTCGAAGTACTTCCTTGATTCTAATGGCCGGAACCACCAACTGCATGGTGCTATGTTTCCCATCCGGACTCTCCCAAGCTCGCTTAAGCAATCCGATCTCGACACGCAGAGAGTCCCACTGAGCCCATAACACTTTAAAAGAGGGTGACCCGTCTGATATTTTCGACTAAGCTGGTCGGTCTACTCCATCTCCTTTCCATTTGAGTAACGGCCCGATATCCACGTCCTCTTCTTGGTCTTTTCTAAGCTGAGCTGTAGTTCATTCTTCGTCTTCGGTGACTGTTGTCCTTCCACAGTTGAACTACCACGCTACTCGATCTTGTCGCAGTGTTTGCAGTTCTTATACGGTCTTCTCGACAAAAAGTCCACATTATTGTGGAGCTTACCAGCCCTGTGTCGAATTTTGAAGTGATATTGTTGGAGTCGTTCAAGCCGTTTAGCCACTTGTCCTTCGGGATTCTTCATCTGAAGGAGCCATGTGAGGGTTGCGTGATCGGTTCTAATCAGGAATTCGCGTCCATGGAGATACTTATGGAAATGTTCAACAGCCCTGACAATCGCCAGCAACTCCTTCCTCGTAGCACAGTAGTTCTTCTCGGGTTTCAAAAGTACGCTGCTGAAGTACTCGATGACTTTTTCTTCCTTGTCCTGCACCTGTGACAATACAGCACCTATTCCAATGTTGCTCGCGTCCTTGTCCAAGATGAACATTCCCGATGATTGAGGATAGGGCAGAATAGGACTAGATCATAGTGCGTTCTTCAATCTTTTAAAGGCTGCTTCACATTCAGCAGTCCAATTAAACTGAGACTTCAAATCCGTCAGCCTGTGCAGAGGAGCAGCAATATTAGCAAACCCGTTGTACAAACCTTCTGTAGTACGTGCACAATCCCAAGAAACTGCGGACCAATTGGCCAAGACCAAGAATCGCATTGATCTTTGTTCCCGTAGTCTTGATCCCGTTTGCCGAAACAGTGTGCCCCAGAAATTCTACTTCTTTTTGGAAGAGGAGGCACTTCTTCGGATTCAACTTCAAATTTGCCTCCTTCATTCGGCTAAATACTTCTTCCATGGTCAAGTGTTCCTCAAATGTCTTTCCCCTTACCATGATGTCGTCTAAATAAACCAAACATGTTTTCCATGTTAACCCTCGTAATACCATCTCCATCAGTCTTTCAAAAGTAGCCGGAGCGTTACAGAGTTCGAACGGCATTACGGTAAACTAATACAAGCTGCTGCCGGCAGAAAAAACGATGTTTTCTTTATCTTCTGGAGGAATACCAACTTGCCAGCAGCCGCTTTTTAGGTCTAATGTGGAAAACCAGACGGATCCTGATAGTGTTGTGAGCGTGTCATCAATTCGTGGAAACGGGTAACTGTGTTTCTTGGTTACATCGTTTAGTTTCCTGTAGTCCACGTAGAATTTCGTCGACCCATCTTTTTTGGTAACTAGCACTACAGGCGAAGACCATGGACTGTTTGAGTCCTCTATAACGCCGTCATCCAGCATTTTCCGTACAAGTTTCTCGGCCTCTTCTTGTTTTACCAACGGTAGTCTTCGCGAAGCTTGACGGATCGGTTGCGCATCTTCAGTGTTTATCCGATGTCGCACTATGTTTGTGCGCCCAGAAGATTCCCCAGATGCAAACATTCCACTGTGTTTCTGCAGAAACTCTCTTGCTAGATTTCGCTGATAATAATCAGTTAGATTCCAGCTCTAGGGCAGGAATTTCTAAATTGCTTTTTCTTTTTTCATCTGTGTTATCAGCAGTACGCGGGAATTTATCTCACCGCTGCAATCCCCCAGTTGAAGTAAGGTGTGTTTTACGGCGAGTAGCGGAGACGCCTTAATCTGGTCCACAAGGTCGTAGCCAGTGCGTCGCGTCGCTAGGAGTGTTTACAGCTAGTAAAAAAACTACTTCTATATTACTGTATTACTTCAAATAAGAATACTTGATGCCCTTTTTAATTTTTCAACCACAGGACCACAGATTTGTGATCTTGAAATGTTATATTATGTTGAAATAGTCCAAAAGAAAAATACATTTGTAATCAAACTATCGCCGCGACAGCACTGGTTCTAGCGTACTCGTATGAGATACATTTCCGCGCGTTGGTTATCAGAAAGACTTTCGTTGTGATGAACTAGCTTCGTGACTGGTTCACAGACGACAAGAACCTCCCCACTCTTAATGATCATAGGTTTGGGAAAAACATTTGCGACGCGTACAGGTATGTCATTTTCGGTATTGATTAAAGCACTAGCAACCATGAGATTCTTCTTGGGGGTGTACGGTGGTTGAATAATGCCGAGGGCAAATCCGGGTTTGATTTCTGCTCTAACTGGAAAAATCGTTTCTGCATTCCCTCTGACTTTCACATTCTGGCACGCGATTAGTCTTATAGGTTTCGATTCAGTGCAACGCTGATTCAGGATGAACTCTTCATTACCAAGATGTAGGACTTTCTCCACTGGATCGACCGTCAATCCATGGCGGCTAATCAGATCCATTCCCAGAATGAAGTCATCTTCGATGCCAGCCACGAGAGCGCGATGTCTTATCTTCAGCTGACCAATGTAGATTTCTACTTCTGCCTGGTCCATGATTGGCGCCGACACTCCAGTGACTGTCTTCAATCTAATTGTTTCGGATGAAGTCGCTAGATCTTTAGCTCTCACGAGTCCTCGACGTAAAATTGATACCTCAGCGCCAGTATCGAACGTGATTGCTGCAGGAGTTCCACTAATCTTCACCGGTATAGTTGGACTTCTGCCTCAGATGAAACTTCCTATCTTCACTTCCTTAGGGGCCTTATCCACACCAGTCAGCACATCCCCCAAAATACTGGCTGTTTTTAATTTTCCTGCACATTTTGTTGAAAAGATCTCTGTTGTGTGCTTCTCCTCGGAGCTGGTGATCGAGTACGACAATCGTGTCCACACCTATAGCATTCTAGGCTTTTCCTACGAGGCATGCCATTCGTCAATGCTTGAGATATATGATCCATTTGTTGTGACAGTTTTTCCAATCTTCTTTATTCCGTCATTTTCTTCCATCTCTAGTTGTGCCACTCTGACTTTGTGGCCTGTTCTTGAAGAATTGTACGCCGCCTCCATTACCAGCGCAAGAAATTAGGGCATCAGATGATGTCTGAAATGTTGATGCTTGTAGGATCTTCTTAACTTTACCGTCGCGAATGCCATTTGCAAACGTTTCTGTCGCAAGACTCTCTTGGAAGGATGGTGGTGCGTCAGGATATGCAAGACGTACCAATCTCTTGATATCTGCTTCAAATTCTTGTAGAAATTTCCCCGTTTTCTGTATTCTTGTTTTGAGTTGGGCGACAAAAACTTTTTTTAGATGTTCATCCCCAAAGTTTTGAGCAGCACTTAGGACACTGTATCTGTTTCTATCTTCTTCAGAGAGAGTTTGGAATATCTCCAGCGCTGCGCCTCGCAACGCTATTACCAAGGCTGTAGCTTTCTGTTCTTCTTCCCGAAGGTTCGCCGTCGCTGCTGCCTCAAACTGCTTTTTGTACGATGACCAAGGTGTCTGAGCATCATAGATAGATGCTTGAATGGTTCTGGGGGCCGACGTCACATAACACGAACCAGTGGTTGCTGTATTTTTTATTGTCTTTTCAAATATCTTCGTTCGATCTTCTATAGTTTTCATTCGATCTTCCATGTTATTTTCCATTGCGATCATATTTCGTCCAACAATATTTTCCATATTTTCCAGATTTGTTTTTACGTCCTTCATTTCTTCTCTGATTTCCTCTATTTCATTCTTGTTTGCTTCCACTTCCTTTTGGAATTTTTCACTTAGGCTGATGATTATGTCATCTTTTTGCTTGTCTATTTTTTCGTCCGTCTTTTCCATTTTTATGTCCATTTTTTCATTCGTTTCTTCTATTGTTGCATTAATTTTTTATCACTTGCATCCATTTTTTGGTTCATTTCTTCCATGCTTGCGACCATTTTTTTCCATTCTTGCGTCCATCTCTTCTCTCATTTCTTTATTTCTTGCGTCCATTTTCTCATCCATTTTTTCCATTGTTGCGCACATTTCTTCTTTCATTTGTGCAAGCATAGCGATGATTTTTCCTCCATTTTCGCAGCTTGAGCTCTCGTCTCGACAGGCAGAAATTTCTCAGAATTCTTGTCCAATCCGACCGGAAGCCGTCGTAAAACCAGTTATTAATGTCAAATCTCACTTCCGACACCAGTGTTACGTTGTACGGGTGATTGAATTCGGCGTAGGTTAAAACTCAACAATTTATTTCTTAATAACTCGAATATACACGAATAACTACTACAGCGATTATGTACAAAATAACTTCGGCGAAACTTGTCTGGATACTCGCTGGACTTGACGTGATGACTTCATGAATGAATCCTGTTCCCGACGGTGGCTTCTATTTAAACAGTACGCCTACGTCACCGCTGCCGGACTTCTCCGGAAAACACATGCGCGACTTCCGTTTCCAGGACTTTCTCTGTCAACAAACAATTTCATAATTTGAAAATTACTGTGTTCGCGTTTTCCCCTTCAGACTAAAAACCATGATGTTTACATAATTACAATGTCTCTATCCGTTCTCAAGATATATCTAAGCTCACGAAGTTTTATCTGTTACCCCTGTGTATATGATACTTGGATTTATTTTTTCCATGGAGAAAAAGTGTAGATCTTTCAGCGTTAATTTTTTATAGACATTTGAATGTTCCGAGTCGAGAAAAGGAGGCTGTGATTAATATATGTAAGCATATAGATACAAATTATAAAATAAAAGAGTAAAATTAAGGATTTTCGGTGAACATTTTTTAATATAACGTTCAAAAACGAATACGACCAAATGCATGCTGGAATCCCAGCCTCGAAAATCGTGCACTAAACCATTACCAGACCAAAACTTTGTTAGAAAACTTCGCTTTTCCTATAAATTTAATTTCGTTTGAACAGTTTTCAATATCAGATGTACCTTTCATTTCAGACTGCGACAGCTTAAAATATATTTCATACTAACGCTGTTCCTCATAAAATGCCTTTGCCTCAAAGCTCTGTAATATCGAAATATTCGTTCAAGTTGTGTATTTGGGACACTTCCCTCTTTTTCGATAATCCGCATTATGTCTGCCCAAAATCCTCTGGACGGTCTTGTACGTGACTCTAAAACGACGCTCCAGCCTTCGATTATAGAATCAAATTCTGTTCAGAGCGCGTTGTTTGTATACACTTGATAATTTTGGTAATAATAACATTATATTTCGGAATTTGATTGAAGCATTGACTTGAATTTAACTAACAATGTAATTAAAAATTTTAAACATTGTCGATACTATAAATACGATTTTTAATATATTAGTACTATCTAGCTAGGCTAGCAGGTCGTACTCTCAAATTGTTTTTAAAAACCAGAAATATCCATTAGTGATGAGCCTTGTCTTTGAATTAAAAATTTTTAAATTCCAATACCAAGTAGCAGAAAATAAAAGAAAATAATTAAATATTTTTTTTTATATTGGGGGGTCCCTTGGGCGCCAGCTGGGTAGCCAACCCAACAAGGAAGGGGAATTGACGAACGGACAACAGACTAATTTTCGGTAACTCTATATTAACAAACTCCCTTCGCGAAATGGTACCACCTCTACGATCTTTCATGCTACTTTCCGGAAATTTACACAAGCTCTTTCTTGGTGAATCACTTCGGGGCGATCCCCTTGTGTTCAAAGCTCCCCTAGAAGATGTTACCATGGCATGGAACAGCAACGACGGGGACGGCAACCAACCACGAATCGACGGGCAAGGGACAGCGACGACGGAGACGACAACCAACCACGAATCGACGGCACCAGTACATAGAACCTAGTTCCTTCTGCTATTTAAATATTCTAGGCGAAACAGGCACTCACCTAGCTGTTCTTGGTTCCTTAGGGGGAGATTCTGGAAACTCCGATAAGTTGCAAATCGCTATCGAAACTGCAAATACAATGCAACAACAATACATGTTGCTATGGTTTTGAATTTGCAGATCCTTGCAAGGCCTTATCGAGTTTCGAGAATCTCCCCCTTATTTTATAAAAATCTCGCTTTTCACCCGTGACTCGCTAGATTACATTTTTGTCGCAAAACCTTGCGTACCTATTAGGGACCATTTCAAGTTGGTATAACGGACTTACTACGGTAATGCAGCAATCTGAAGGATTGTATTGTGGTGACCGAATTTGAATCAAATTTTCGCGCTGAAATTAATTAACAGCGGCGCGAAATCACATCTGAATTATTTGAATTTGAGAGAAAAAAAAAATGCAATCAAAAAATCGTTAAACATAGGCAACTATATGCACGTTTAATTCTTTTCATGATAGTTGGTAGTTCTGCTTGTTAGTTAGAGGGTTGGTTATGAGAGGACAACTTGGTGGGAGAGAGTGGCATGTTGAAAGCGTGGATCGTTTTTTTTTCTTTGGCTAGATGACCTGCGGGTGTATGGTGAAAAGACGCTGTAAGTAGCTAGGTTAAATTAGTTGGATTGGTAGTTAATAAAAGGGAGGAAGCCTTTGTTTAACAATAATCAATCGTAACTCCGATGGCGACACAGTTTTCCCCCAACACGTGTAGTTAATTCTTGCGGCTTTTATTCGAAAAACTATGCGGTCTTTCAACGTGGACCACGTGGTGTAAATTTGTTTTATTGTTTGTACATTCACCGATCAGGATAGTTTTTTTTTAATCGTCAGGTAGTACTAATAAAATTTAACAATCAGGATTATTTAAATAAACCACTTACTAAAAAATTTTATGTAATTCACTAGGGCCGGTTTATCAATGCTCAGTTAAAAGTGTCTGTTAAGTAACTGTCAGATAAGGATAACTAGCAGTTAACGGAGGTAAAGTGTTTATCAATGCACGATGTTTCTTCCAGTTTCGTAGCTCGAAGTTTAGCTGTTACTCTCTTAAGTTGGTAACGCTCACCCCACTGGAAATGAGTTGTGATTGGTCAGTTCAAAACTACCCCGACCTTGAAAGTTCCATCAGATTCGATCCGCATTCGGTCTTCAACGGTATATCGCGTTTCACGTGATCAATCATGAAAAAGCAAAATTTAGCATTAGAAAAAAAGTATTGGAAATTAAAAATGAAACAAGTAGGTACACCTATAAATAAATACAGAGAGATCGAAAAAGAAATTAGTCAAAGTTGGCCATGCACCAAAAGGCGTTTGTCTTAGTTTAAAATAATTTTTTATTAATCGTCACGTTGACAAAATTAATTTGCACTGTTATCAAACGAAATTAAAGCTTTTTTGTTATTAGAATCTTCAGAAATGGGATAAATTTTAGACAAAATTGGAAAACGGTGATTTTAATTCATTCTTATGTGTTTTAAAAGTAGGCGTCATAATTCTAATTTTAAACTGTCAATTGGACATTTAAAAAAAAATAAATTACCCTACCACCGTGATTACGACAAACGGCTTGTCGTGCATGGCCTACTTCGATTAATTTCTTTTTCGATCTCGCGGTATTATTAGATAGGTTTTTAATTTTTGGTACCTACATTAGACCTGGAAAATAATCAGCTAATAATAAGTGTTTTTCTC